AGTATTCATTTGCATGAAAAATTTGTGTCAGATTAGCTTTGCTTTGTGTATCAAAGATCTATGCGAATTTTGGTCAATTTCTTGCCATTGGGTGCTCCCAGGTGTAAAAAAAATTACTGTGCATATTGTCTCATACGCTTAAAATGGCAAGCTTAGCACCTGTTCTTCCAGCAATAGTGAAGTAAATTCCCGATATTGGTGAAGTTTAAAATCTTGTGGACGTGGAATAGCTCTGTAATTTAATCCAACTTTTGGCAGCTTTTTAAGACAGTCAATACGATGCATTTAAAATTTTGATTTGATACTCGTGTTTTAAACTTGTAGAGGGCTACATAAATTGAAAATCCTGCTTATCTGATGGGAGTGCATACTTAATAGATTGTAATAGTTGCTTCTCTGCTACTACGTTAGATTTGTATTTTAATGACCTTACGGTTATCAACCGACTTAGATTCCATTACAGCGTGAAAACACTTAACCTTCAAGTATAAGTAACCAGCCATAAGTTTTGATAGCTAACGCTATAGTTTATTCAATTCGCTATGTCTATACTAACGACTAGCACATTTTAGGCGTAATTTAGAAGCTGTCAGTCCAGTACTTGATATAAGAACGAATGCCTTACTTCATCATTTCATCATTAGCTACGGCCAACTAACATACTGTTATTCCATGTAAACCATCATTATAGTTGTCTACTGCTACACTTAGCCTTTATACATTAGTGTTACACTGTTACGAGTAGGGAGATACTATTATTAATGGTTGCAAAAATAGACTTAAACCACTGCTTGTACTGACATTTCGCTAAGATTGGTAGATTATAACTGTGACTTAAACTACAGCATAAGCACGACTGCACGAATACTGCATTAACTTCTATCTTAATCAATTCCTAGTGAGGACTTTCAAGGTTTACCAATTGTTACGGAGCTTGATACTCCGTGATAAGTGGCTAGTAGTAAAGTTGCTAATCTACGGTTAGTCTGTAATACGTACTATATAATTTAATGTGATAGATTAGCACTAGGGTATTTGTGTGACATAGGAAATTGTAATATAAGTGTCACAACGTCGTTTGCAACAATCGGATTCCCGTTCCACACTTATCCTATTCTCCTCTGTCCTACCGTAAAACTGCCACCAGGCGTCACTACTCGCTCCACTTCAGCGAAGGACCTCAGTCAACAGTAAAGGCGGACTAGAAGCGTCTGGATAAATTTACTAAACTAACTTTATTAGGTCTCCGTATTTTCCTCCTCTCTAGCGAGGTAAATTACAACCTCTTATATACTTGTATCAAATCTACACCTGTTCCACCTGTTAATTATTCTTATACATAACTTAGTCTTTCTATAACTTTGTAATCCTATTAATTACTATCGAACAAATATGTGATAATTGATATTATTATGCGCTAATAATATTATAGCGCCAATTAACAATTTAAGATCTAACAGATTCCCTACAAGTGTGACAACCGCCATTTTGGTTATTACACGTCATTGGCATATTAAGTACCTTACCTCTACACATTCGTTAATGGAAGCCCATTAACGATTGAATCTCACAATATTAACAGATCATAATATTTATGATTATCTAATCGTAACCGTCTATTTCTTCTTCAATAACATTATCACATAATATCTTAAACCGTGACAATAAGCCTGATTGTTACTTAACTAAACTTGCCTAATCTAAACTAATTAGATTACCCTAGATAAGTAACAATAACTGAGAAATGCACTTTCGGAATCTTCTAACTATATCTTTACTTTATAAAATACAAGTTAAAGTTAATATTCAAAATCGATCATTTAAATAGCTTTTCTAGCCATAAAACCGGTTTACGATATGTGATATATTTCGACTAATAAGACTTCGTGAATACGTTGAATTATTCCTAGTCTTATCCAATGAATTTGTAATATTACTAAAGATTAATCTTATGTTTTCTCTAGCTTATTATTGACAGGATTTATATTGAATTCACCATTGGCAATTCATATACTATATTTAGTACAATTTAACCTGTATTAGGAACAGGCTTGTATCGGCTATATTAAGTCATAAAATAATTCATGCACATATCCAAATTAATAACTATCTTATCGTGATACATATACATGTCTAAATTAAGTACGATATCATTTGTCACGGTAGATTCACTACCGTGACACTGATTAATAAGTTTTAATCTCAGTTCCTCTGAGGCTACGGTATGCTAGAGTACAAAGTTGTAATAGTTATTAATAAAATATTTAATAACCTAAACCTATCGTTGGACTCGTTTTCTATAGTATAGGAATAAGTTAGTTTTCCTTTATCGACAATTCCCGGAGTTAGTCGGCGAACCTTATGAGTAGATAGTTTAGTTTAGGAACGATCACGAAAGCTGTTTTGTGACACCAATGTATACTGTAGATTCTACAGACACTCGGCGGTACAATCTGCCGTCGAGAAAATAAAAGCCAGCCGTTTTTTTATTAAAGGTAGCCTTGAGGATTACTAAGGAGGTTGAAGTAGACTAATTTTGTTGTTGAAGTAAAAATTTATTCGGTAATATTTATTTCGTAAGTTGTTACTCGTGTATAATCATTACTAATCAATGACAAAGATGAATCTTATTAGCTATTCCAGTAAAGTGTCGTTTAATATCAGCCATACCGTACGGTAGTTAATAGTAATATCGATTCTATCAAAGGAATTATATTAACTATGGATGACAGCATTTGCTAAATACGAAATATGCATGCCTCTTATTCCCGATTTATAGTATCATAATGTGTAGAGATTTTAGCTAATTACAATAGTTTTGTGTCGGCAATACAGTGATAGTATGTAGTGTAGAACTGTATATCTTAATAAGGTAAGTGTTGATAAGTCTACTATGATGAAACGGCAAACATTTAGTATGTGCTATATAAGGCCGTAGCTCGTAGCCACACTGAGTAATGATATTAAGCAATGTACTAATGTGATTGATGACTTCTATGTATAGGAGCAATTGATGATAATTTGCATAAGTTGTATAGAATTGTTATCGTGAAGGCTAAGTCGATTATCCGGTCTATCTCAGCCATTTTCGATTGTTATTGTGAGGGGAAGAAATTGGAAATCCTCTCCAACGGACGACATGGGACGTTAATAAACTTAACTGTTTTTGTAAGTCAATTTATACGATGTGAACTATTTTGTGTCACATTAGGGATTTGCTTGATTTTAGCAACTCAGAGTTTTGATTTGTCGGATCACGAACCTAGGGCTACTAACCCGTGCACTACATAATGGCAGTATTATGAAACGCATCGCTAGCAGGAATTAGCATTGGCTGCACTACTGTAGCATGCAATATAAATAGATCATTTCGTTGTTACTACAGTGCACCTTTTGATAGTCTGCACAAATAGACTTATACCACAGTTTGTACTGACATATCGAAAGTTGTAAGATTAATATAGTATTGCCGCATTTTCTACTATTGCTATATTTAAGATATGATCACTTTTTCGGTCATATATTATGTATTGTTATTATTGTAGGTTTACCTGTTATGATATACAACAATGTTGATTTGTTAGTGTGATATTAGAGTATGTTTTTACAATAATTGTTGTTATTTGTGAGACCTTCCGCAAGTTAGATTATAAGCTTTATTATGAAATGATCGTATTAAGTTATTAACTTTGTTTCTCATAGTAATCAGTAGGTACCTTAATTTATTTACGCTAAACTTGTTTACTTGTCAACAGGGAAAGAGAATGCTATATAAATGAGCGTATATCTTGACCTCGTGGTGATTATTTCCCTACTCTTCCCTCTGACTATTGTCTATGTTCTTTAGGTTTAAACAAACGTGGTCGTTCAATTTCTTCTCTACCCTGTACTCTAAGGTTTAACCCTAGTTACAAATACCGATGCTTTGTGACAAGTATCTTCCTATGGCATAGAATAGATATGTTGAATTGTAAGGACTTTTAAGTTTTATGAAAGTTTAGTGCAGATTTTGCAGATACGTTACGGCATAATCCGCCGTTAAGGGTATAAAAGCCAGAAGTTTTAAGGAATGTTGATGCCGAATATAGTACAGTGTACCGTATATCATGGGCCATACTGTGCAGTGCAGTAGAGGCATATAGACTACTACCGTTGCTGCAGATACATGAAGCCGCAAGCTAATGTGACATTGATGTTAAGTTTTAAATAAAATCTTTCTATAGTAATCTTGAACTGATAATATAACCAAGGTATACCGAAGTAAACTTTATCCTTGCTGTTACAAACAAAGAGACTTGGAATAACCAAATGAATGGATTTTATTTTAGGCAGTGTATAACGTCAAAACTTAGAAATAATGCAATTATTGAATATCTTCATTGAAAACAATATAAATCACTCATGGAATAGTTAGCAGCTTTCATGCAAAATATTTTGTATTTATGTAATTAAGATACACCAAGCGATGCAGATGCATTAACATCAAGAGTAAAGAATCTTTACTCGAGAAGGAATAGATGGAAAAACATCTACAATTTAATCATAGCGATACAGTGTACTGTACTTCTAGTCCAGTAGATTCAAAGTGAACAATAAAAACTTGAAATACACTAGAACTGGATAAGCCTACTTACAACTGCGGTCAACTGTAAGACCAATACTTATATTTGCCTACGGCTAAAATAAGCTCTACATGAGCAATATATAGATATTTATACATTATGATGCAATCGGAACTAGCTAACAGCAACGCTCACGTTGTCAAACACAGTCTTTAGAAGTCTAGTAACAAAATGCATGCTTTCATCCCCAGCAATAACGATATCATATTGTGCCATATACGAATCTAGCAGTTCGTTCACCTAAGCAATATGCATATTTTTGAGTTTAGAATGCTATTAAATATTGGCATGCAAGTGTCATTAATACATATTGTAAACGCTATGTTAGCCAAATGCATTATGTAAAATCTAAGGTTTCAAATCAATTTATACATTTACCTTTACATTTAGGAAGCCAATAGAAACTTTATTTCGTAAGTAATCAATACCATCAGCCATATGTAAATCACCTTCCGTATCGCCCATCAATATCAAATTGTCACGTTCCTGTATACGATTACAGAAAGTAAAAGGAGTTAACATTCTATCATGGTAGGATTCTACCAAGTATGATGATTTTCATTACTTTATTCTTTATAAAATAAGATGAATTATGCTCCGAAGCTCTAGTTTTATTAAATGAATGAATAACGTCTTCCTGGAAACCGATAAAATATCCCTATACAATAAAAATTGGCTCGTAATAAATCGCATGTAATCACCATCAAATTTAGAAGACGAAACGTGCTAAACTTACATCGTCATTATAGATCATCACATTTGACAATATTTCAATATTGTCATGGAATGTCGATTGCTGATGAAACCCTTCTCGGATAACATCTAACTCGTTACGCATATTTAAATGTTACAATAAAGAGAAATGGTTAGCAGCTACCTAAATGCCACTGTATGTACTTTATTCAACGGGATGAATGAATTCGATGCGAAAAGATAAGAGTTATTTTATAGAAAGCGTGAAATTAGCTACTAATTCCGGGTCTAAGAGGTAATCCAAGCCTCACCTCCTATGCCAGCTGATAATATTAGCACAGGGATATTATGCCGTTCCAGGACGTCCATCAGTTCATCCATTCCATCTCTGTAGTGTAAATAACATTGAAAATAGTAAAAAGAATGCATAAAATTAACATTCGTTTAGAAGATAACATTAAATGAACATGACTTATAGATTTTTAGTTACATTACCGTAAACGTATACTAGACGCTTTCAAAAGCTTGCTCAAATCATCTCTATGAATATTTGCGCTAACCATCAACTTCTCTCCCTCTTTCCACCTAAAGATGTAAAATCATATTTTACTCTAATTAATTATAAATCATCACCAGAAACCAGCGATACAGCGTGAAAGTAATTAAATTAGAAAACGAGCAGGAATACAGTTTGCTGTAAACGTTTGCAATCCATAATGCTAACCATATTTCCATATGGGCTATTTTCTCTTCAAATGTGTATTTACTAAAACATAAAATACAAAATTGCTGTCCAGTGTGAAAATGGTAGCGTTACAACTGGTTTTAATGATACGAAATAAATTTGTAAATATGAAAATAATTTTACTCTGAAATTTCAATGGCATAGTAATAATCTCTCAATGATTCGGCCTACAGAGCAATAGAAAATGATTAGCAAAGAAATACATAAGAAATATGATCCCTGTAGTCTATACTTGACATAAAGTGTGTTATTAATTTTGTGCATTTAATCCATATGTAAGAGGATTGAAATCTATAAGTAATTAATGTTTATATAGAGTATTGATTGAATCCTTCCATGAAAGCGTAAGGCAATTGACACAATCTGGACCTATGTAATGTTGCAACATGGTAAGATTAGTCTAACCGCGTCTCTTATTCTCTTGTCAATGAGCGGATTACTATCAAGAACGCCTACATAAAATAAACCGAGTTCGAGTTAGTAACTTCCAATTTTACATTAAGAAAAACAGTTCAATGCCATATTTGAAAATAATTGATCGTTTTTCAATGACAATATCGACTTTGACATTGCAATATAGAATATGTTAAGATAATTATTTATAGAATACAGTAAATCCAAATTCAATTGCTGTACGTTAGCAAAATTTTCACATATCCGCTGCAATTATAACCAATGAATACATGATCTAAATGTATAGACTTTATATTAATATCATCGCTCTTTGTACACTTGTACTTTTGAAGGTATAGCTATATAAATTATTCTGTACACGAAGCAACATCAAAATGCCCATGACATTACCAAAGCTTGTGGAAGCGGATTTGCCATTGTACATACGGTATGTTAAAGTCCTATCGTAATCTGTTAAAAACTAAAATATTTATGATAACGTTAATTAATTATTTGAGAATCAGCCAAAGTTTCAAAATAAATTGAATGGATAATTATAATAGGTAAGTAGTGAGTTATTCACAGTAGCAACATTTCAGTAAAAACCTAGTCATCTGAGATTGTAACTTTATTCTGTCATTACGGTACACAATCGATTTTATTCCATTCAAGACTATTGTGTTATAATCGATTTCTTAAGATATACGATTATCCACTTCAATATCTCTAAGATTACATCCTTAACGATAGGTAGCTAAAGCGAAAGGATTCATTAATGCCATACCAACCTGAAATTTCTCAGTCCCATCCTTCGCTATCATCAGTAATCTGGCAATAGTGCCTTCCACGTCTTTGCAATGTACAGTCGGATGTTGCAAGAGATTCTGTAACTGCAGTAATTTATGCATTCATTACAAGAATTATGAATACTCTACTACACCGTGGCGAAATGACTGATAACAACGAATTGCATAACATGGATAGAATGAAATAAAAACTATCTACACGTAGAACATCCAAGTACTGCATGAATTCCAAGTTGAAAAGGCACAGGCAGCATCAGATTTATGAGGCAGTACTGTACTGTAGAAAGTCAATCAATTAATCTGTATAACCATGATGGTTCTTCCGATATTGGAAAAATTCGAACCTACTCCATTATCTACGATATCGTATATAACATACCATTGTAGCCGTTGCAACCCTTGTTCGACAGCAGGCTATGATCATGCAAAAATAGCAATTCTACAGCACGACAACATCACTATCTAACTATGAAAGTCCTGCTTACATAAACATTGCTGCAAAAGCTTTCAGTTCGGTACAGAATTACGAGTTGAAGCTATCGTAAGCTACAATACGTTCTACAGCTGGTAAAAAATAAATCCAGTAGGTGGCGGTGTCTACAGATAGAGTTACTTGCGTTATGATAGCATCCAATATTGATCCAACTGTGTCATGGCATCGCCGTTAAGCCTGTCATGGTGATACGAGTAGTTTGAAAGATCCAGTTGGATTGGCGATATTGAAGCGGAGTCTACAATACTGTATCATTGCAATAGCTTAATTAAGGCATCACATGGAGAGGAAGGATTGCAGATGGCTGTGGAATTGATTGATAGCAGTAAAAAATCTTTATTGCCGATTGGGTAAACCACGATTCAATTGGCTACTACACCGTGGATGGTTGTTGATATTGACTGTATAGTGTAGAGTCCACTCGACTCCATGTTTGAAGAGATCGGCTAGTTGACTGCAGTATCAAAGCAAATGGTACACCACCCTCAGTCCAAAATCAACTGGGTGGATGTCCATGTTCTCCTTCTCTTTCGTATCTCATCAACTGTTGAATCAACATGTTTATGGACTACAAAATACCATTTTCAACTGACTACAGCCAATCATTGGGTCATTTGGACAATCTCATCCATGGATCAGTCGTGAACCAACTATCAACGATAATATCCATTTCTATCCTCGATCATCTCGGTACTCATTCATACGTAACAAACATTCATGTTGACTAGCGTTATCCGGTAGTCTATTCATTGACAGGATGATCTCTATGCAGGATTATACCAATCGATTGATGTTCAAACGATTAATTCATCTTAATCAGACTACAATATCAAACCTGATTGTATAGTAGTGCGGAAGGACCGTCGGCCATGATTCTTTTTCAAGGTATTGTAAAAGGAACAGGTAGCAGTAGTACAATGTAGCAGGGAATCGTCTACACAACAGTAGACAAATGCAGTCAGTGGTCAACAATTTTGACCAGCAGAGTCTTGGCAATCTCGGAATTCCATCCCAAGCCACACCCTAAGTTGTCTTGGATTTTGCAACAGTATGAATTGCTGTAGCAGGAATTTCCTGTTTTGGACACTTTATTACTAATCGTATGGCAAAGCATGAATCCGATGACGATTAAATAGGCTAAAGATCATGTTGGCGACTGTATACTACCTACGTGCTCGTCGCTGCCGGAATGGAGATATAACAGTAGGTACAGTAGGAAAAGAAAGAAAGCACTGGTTTCAATCCATCATGGACGAATACTACGACAGCTGATGATCGCTTTCAAGACTAAAATGGGGATTGGCTTAACCTAAAAAGCAAGCATATACAGTACAGGACACTGGAATTATTTGGATCTCTTTTTATTTTTGACTTTCCTTTTTCATGCAGTGTACCGTCGTTGACATCAGTCCCAGGTGTGCCTACTGTACGGTGTGCTGTAGACAAGAGACTCTTCCATTTTGAAAAAAAAAGATTGTCATGTCACTGTGTAAAAGGCTCTCTTCTCGACAGTGTTGTGTATTACTATCTCCAGTTAACACTAACAAGCGCATCAAAGTTTGGTAATGCTCTCAATCAGCGTGGAAAACAAGAGATTGTACACGTAGTTGAAGTTAGAGTAAAATGAGCTACTAACTCCTATTTTCTCTTTATTGCCTGCATTGAAAAGCGCAAAGCTTCTACGCCGTTCACACTTTGAATAACGGATACCAATTTTGAGTTTGTAGAACAGTGAATTTACTAGTACAATCGAGCCATGTAGTACAGTATACAGTATACAGTACTAGTACTGTGGACGTTAGCCAGTTTTAATGAACGAACGTACTGTACAGTACAGTACGAACGTCCAATTTGAACGTACCAACGTACAGTACACTGTACATACAGTAGTACAAACTATACAGTACTGAACTAATAATTAAATTGTCATGTCTCTCTGTTAGGGTCTGTGCTGTACTGTACAGTGTACACTGTACAGTACAGTATAGTACAGTACATAATACTGTATACTTGTACTGTACTGTACACTGAGTGTACAGTACATAATACAGTATATTTGTACTGTACTGTACACTGTACAGTACTAATAATTACATTGTCATACAGTACAGTACAGTACTGTATGACTCATGTCTCTCTGTTTAGGGTCTCTGCTGTACAGTGTACAGTGCACAGTATAGTACATAATACTGTACGGTACTGTACAGTGTACAGTACTAATAATTAGATTGTCATGTCTCTGCTGTACAGTGTACTGTACTGTACATAATACAGTATATTTGTACTGTACAGTACTGTACTAATAATTACATTGTCATACTATACAGTACAGTACAGTATGACTCATGTCTCTCTGTTTAGGGTCTCTGCTGTACAGTGTACAGTATAGTACATAATACTGTACAGCATACTGTACGGTACTGTACTGTACAGTACTAATAATTAGATTGTCATGTCTCTGCTGTACAGTGTACTGTACAGTGTACAGTACTGTACTAATAATTACATTGTCATACTGTACTGTACAGTACAGTACAGTACAGTATGACTCATGTCTCTCTGTTTAGGGTCTCTGCTTTACAGTGTACAGTATAGTACATAATACTGTACAGCATACTGTACGGTACACTGTACAGTACTAATAATTAGATTGTCATGTCTCTGCTGTACAGTACAGTGTACTGTACAAGTGTACATAATACAGTATATTTGTACTGTACTGTACTAATAATTACATTGTCATACTGTACACTGTACAGTACAGTACAGTACTGTACAGTACAGTATGACTCATGTCTCTCTGTTTAGGGTCTCTGCTGTACAGTGTACAGTATAGTAAATAATACTGTACAGCATACACTACTTGTACTGTACAGTACCAATAATTAGATTGCCATGTCTCTCTGTAATAAGGGTCTCTGCTGTACAGTGAGTTCTTTTGCTGTCCCGTCTCTTCTTGATTTTTAGAGCGCAAAAATCAATGTGGAGTCTCTTGTAAATCCACATACAAAATGGCTCTGAGGAATGACCTCAAGGCAATCAGCCCACACACCAAAACAAACAACGGTCCAACTCATCCATGATGTAACTAGACCTGAGAAAAGTTGGCTTCTGTCAGGGATTACTATAGAAAAAGTGTAAAATAACCATGAGGAATGACTATTTTCCTGGTCATGCTACTCTAGGCTAGCACCAATGCCGTATACAACACAGTACAAAATCAAGCAAGCGGCTAATTCTATGCAACCGAATGCTTGTTGTAAATTGAAATCAATGATGATGCTCAAACACAGTTTAAAAAATTTGAGGTACAGACTCTTAGAATAATGTATCATCGTTTAAGCTATTGGCGCTGAGTACAGTATCTGAGTCTTTAAGCAGATATACAGTTTTATGGGTTTTATTCGAAAATAAATCATAAAAATTTTCACTGATTTATCTAGAAAGAAATTCTACACCTTGTACATAGAGTACAGTACAAACCAAACTCGCTACAGTACATCCTTTCAAATGTACTGTACACCTTGTACATAGAGTACAGTACAAACCAAACTCGCTACAGTACTGTACATCCTTTTAAATGGGTTTGTACTGTACAAACCCACAATTGTCACCCCCTGAGTAGAGTAGAGTAGAGTAGAGTTGAGTACAGTACAAAGCAAACTCGCTACAGTACATACTTTCAGGGGGTGACAATTGGGTTTGTAAAGGGTGTAATTATTATTACAATAAGAATTGGAATTACCGACTCACTGTCCATCTTCAACAACTTGGAGAATCCATTTTATCCGCAGCAATCATGGAATCAAATGGACATTTAGCCCGTCAAAAGACGTCTACCGACGACGTCATTGCAAGTATAACAGAAAAGATTTACCGAATGAATTCTGTCCCTGTACTCATTCCATCGAAAAATAAAGGAAAATCCAGTGACGTCAATCGAATGAGGTAAGGCAATAGGATTGGCATAAGAACGCCCTGTAATTAGCCCCAATAATCATACTGTACGATGTCACTGACGATGGCCGTACAAGTGACGGTGCAACCCTTCCAGGAAAAACTCTCCAACGTCAAAATTCCATTTGCCTACAGTATGTTGACAGTATCCAATCATGATTTCTGCAAAGTGTAATGGGATGGAAGGATCTTCAATGCGACCGGGATACAGTCTACATGCAACATAGCAAGGCAGACTTTTCAATCAATAGGGTCTCTACAGTACAGTAGACATGTTCTACTCAGTGTAAACGCTTTCCTATCCATTCTAACATCATTCTCGTAATAGCGCTATTGGCTTGGGTCTCATTTTCAAATGCAACGTCGACCTTATGTATTCCAATGAGGACTGTCATCTGTACCTATTTTCTCTGTAGATTGCAATTACTGTACTTTGTAGAACACGGTAGGACGCAGCGACAACGATCATTTCGTCCCATATTGGAATCGATCTTGTCGATAATACAGTAGATAACCTGATACTCTATGCTCATCAACAATTCAATTAAATAAATAATAAGAATAGAATAGAATTCTTAATGTGATTTATCCCACTTTTCCTAATCAATCATGTCTAGGCTTTTACCAACGCTAATCAAATGCGATAGCATCGCTAGCATAAAGGATCATGATGATCAAAGTCATACCAACAAGATTGCACCAGTGACATGTTGATGCTTTTTCAATAGACTCACAGGATAGTTGATCATATACGTACTCTAGAAATGAATATCAATCGTGTATCTCGATCTTGATGTACACAAATGCCGGTATAAATGTTCATGTTGATTGCAACCATGACATCAGTGGAGCGATAGAGCCACAAAACTTGGAAGGCTACTTTGATCTGTTAATGACATCGTGGTAAAAAGAATACGTGTAAACTTGATTACCAACATACAATTTGTGACAATCTACCATCAATGACGATAAAAGGCTTTCAAGTTAACTATCAATTGGGCTGTATTTGTATAATTACATTTGACTGTAAAGACTACTGTGTTGCCGCCTAAACAAGTTTTGACGTAGAGAAAGAATAAAAGTCCCCTTGCCCAATATCTTGTTTCATAGAGTATTGAAGTTGATTTGCCTTCTCTCGCACTACCACATCGAGCAGTGAAAGAGCAGTATTGGTTTGTCCACCTGTAAAATCAATCAGTATTGAATTTCAAGAGGTAGTTCCCATTTGCTTGTGCCTTCCAGTAAAGCATCATAGAATGTACATCGTATGAGCTGGTGACTAAAATTCTTATCATTTGAATATTGCATTTGAAAGGCTTGGATTCCATGCTTTTCGTAGTTCTACTTATGCACTATTTCATGAATACTGATTTTACCGTATGTTTTGCTATACGTATTCGTTGGACTGCAAACCACGTTTATCGTAAATTACCGATGCATAAATTACTGTTTCCTTCCCACAATGGCCTTGGAAGAAAATCGACCATGCCTTTTCATCTGCCGATCCATGCTCCTTATTCACAACAATACAACATAGCTGGACTTAAATCAATACATTGCTTCATTAATTAAAAGTATCGGTAAAACTTCAATGGAAACAATTTAAAAGGCATGGTAATATACACTTATACAGTACTGTAGGTCAAATTAAACAATTCCAAGTGAGTGTACAGAAAACATAACACAAAGTGTAGGCAAGTTTATCATAGCAATGCAATCATTTCAATGTGGAAGTGCTAGGCTGCCATACATAAAAATACTGTGATTTAGAGATACATAATGATACTGTACAATAGACCCTCCATATAAAGTATGATACTGTATTTGATGGCGATGGCTACATGGTAATTTGTTATGGTTTGGATTTTAGAATAAACATTGCTGCTTTGCTATGGGCTACTCAAATAAAAGATCCTTTTAATGAAGTAGTCCATGACTGGACGCAGTAGCTGCTAAACGAAGTCGTTTCTTCCAACACGACATAGTTATAAAGTGACTCATAATTGCACCAATTTTTAGACTTCTTCACCTATAGTCTATACTTACTTGCTTAGTAGAAACAACAATCGAACAACACGCTACTTATTCAGTAGTCTATACTCAACAGCACAGTCGACAACTGTGAGTTGCCAATTTATTGAATTAATTCAAACGCGATTCCATGTGATCTATAGTAGGCATATCGCTTGTAGTCACAACCTGATTGTATCCAATGTTCCAGAACTGTAATGATGATGATGTAGTCAGATGTTCATGAACTAAGAATTTCCATTGGTCAATTGAAATTGTCTAATGACCAGGTACTGTCTATCAGCGTTAACCGCGACATCTTTTCCCACATTGAAATATCTATTTGGCTCGCTAGATGTGAAATGTCTTTATGTCCACACGGCCATTTTTTTATTGTGTATCCCTCCCCCTCCCCTCCCCCGGAACATTCCATCTTCTGCGGTATAAAGTACTGTACAAAATGGAAAAAGAAAATGATATGCATGCACGTTCAATCAAGCCTCCATGGAAGTGGATCAAATTGATGTACTGTCGATGTAGCCTAATAAGTCTAACATTCAATTTGGGACATGAAGTTTTGCATTTTTGCTAATTTTCACATCAAATTGATTCCAAATGGCTTCATTTATCTACAGTACTAAGTCCAATTTCGTCCGCTCATTTGTGATACTGTGTACAGTACTGTAGTACAGTACAATGTCAGTCAGAACGCTGATGCATCGACCATTGTACTGTAGTAGTTGTTCATTTTCACTTCGGAGTCTATGCTTATATACAATCGATTGAGACAGATAATCAAGTGGAAAAATTGATATATATATAAGCACGTATAGAGGAAATGATGGGATTAGTCTGCAGCTGGTGTTGATATAAAGACGAATGGCAAGCCGTAGATAGAATTGATCCTGTAGAGTCGACTCGTAGACAGTTTTACATGGGATGAACTGGTTATTTTAGTAGGCAAATCAATGAGTTTATCCACTAAAGTTGGCATTCGATGCTGGCTAATGTAATCCTACTGGATGACTATCGATCGTCCATGAAAGCAATTGAAGAACTATTCTTCTTATTAATGGTCATCATTCTCAGTTGGTTCTCATTTTTTTACAAGCAAACAACTCATTTGGTGACATTATTAACATTGAAGTCTTGCATCAGCTCACATTCAAAGCGGGAAATTCTATCATGACTGAACTCAATCGTGAACTTTTATTCTCTGATCATTCGATGTATGGACAAGATCGTAGTAGGTAATGATTGTCTTAATCCTCCATCGACACAATACACATTCAATATGCAGTACTGTAGATCGGATACAAGTCGATTGATATAGCTCCACCGAATGGCAAGCATTGTCGTTGCTAATCGATTTGAATGATACTCAATCTTGAAGACAAATTCCCTCATCTCATAACGTACTCGCATCTTCTCTTATCAATAACCAACTTATATACGCTTTGCGTTAGTATGGAGAAATCTTTCCTATTAGAATACCACAGCTTACAATTCGTAAAAGAGAGTACAGGATTGAATGACTCTCTGCATCGCCATCTTTCTAGACAGTACAATAGCGACGATTTACTGTAATGAGATACAAAAGCAATCTTGATTCACCAAGGAGCCATATTGGATCAAAATAACAATCTTGAACAAGGTTACAATTGAAAATGGAGTATGGGTGAAATTGAGATCCGACTACTTTTTCCTTAATAATAATAATTATTATTATTATAATAGTCACTTACAGCAATCAATATCCATTAGCAATATTGTACAGTAATCGCCTGACGACATTTTTTTTCAACTTCATGTCCATACAGAAAGTACAATAAAAGGAATTTCCATCATCTCTCTTTACCGATAGCGTTAGCAATAATAGTGCTCAAAGGTGTTTACCTTTTACGCGCTATTTCGTATACAATTTGGTGACACGACATGCAATACTTTTGTTCAATTTTAACCTTCAAGCTGAATAGATGGACGAAGATACAGTAGAACTAACACCAACCAACAAGAAACAATAGACGCAGTAACAAAATAGAGTTCTTCATTCTATCGCTTAGATAAAACTCTTTCTTATTCAGTTGATGAGACAACGGTAAAATTACTGTTAAAGATTGTACTTTTTTTTTTATCATCGATATCAGTCCATTTTCCTTTTTACAATTGTATTGATAACAGTTTACCCAAAGTGTTTACTAAAGTTTTACTTTGGCGTATACAATTCAATTTGAAAACTTTGCAAAAATCTGTTGCCCCGCCGTATTCAAATGATCGATTTTCAAGTCGTCAAATGACAACATTAGCCCTTTATTTGATAGAGGATGTAGAAGCACGTGCATGTCTGTAGTTCTACGCAACAGATATCTTTTCTATGGTCACAGGGACTCCTACGTTTGATCAAAATCAATTCCACACACCAGACAACTCCAAAGTAATGTTATTGTCAATTAGAGGATTATTTGCTTATTCTCTTCAACAGATAGTGCGCGATACCAACATACCCTACGTATACTAGAGTATTCAAAAACTAAAGTTGTTGTCATCACACTTTTAGAATACCGCAGAAGACAATCAAATCATGTCCCACTACTCATCACACAACGGTTGCATACTTGTGTTGTCTACTTGACTACTAGTTCAAAGCAGCTCGTCTAGGGTATTGCGATACGATGGAAAAAGTCATTTCCTATCTGTCTTTTTAAAACTTTTGATAAAGGGAAGGTAGAAAAGCCTAAAATAAATGAAGCATGTACTGTATTGATTTAGAAACAATTACTTTATATCACGATATGCTAATGGAAACCCCTTGCTATGCGTTCAAATTCAAACTTGTTATCCTGGTGTAACCAATCAAGGCCTTTAAGTAATAGCTCAATTCAGAAGGATGCGTTTGTTTATCCGATGCAATATTTCTAGAAAGTAAACGTTTAAAATTGACTGCTTGTGGATCATTCTTTCCCTTGCTAATACTATCACCGTTTGTAGTTCTACACCGGATGCTTCCTTATTCGAAATGCCGGATGATGATATCGCTCAACGTCAAATTCATGAAGATGCTCTACAAACTACTATGTTGCAAGCAGGAATTAAAGAACTAGAATTTAAGAATGCGAAAGATGAAGGTATGAATGGCAAAACTATTGACATGTGTATTTCTCTGTTCATTGATTGTGTTATTTATGTTTTGCGTAAAATGAAGTTGCCTTACATTTCTCAAAATTTTTGAATGACTTTCCATTATTCATCTGATGAATGATTTCAATTCTAAATATTTACCAAAAAAATATTGAAATAGTTCTAATCGACGAAATTTAAATAATTTCCTTTGCTTAGATTTAGCTAGTCGTTATCGATCACAGTGCAATCGCGAACGATTTCTAGATTCAACAAAATTTCATAGAATTCATGTTGACGAAGACGAATGCAGTCACTCCGGTGTAAGTGATAATAACACACACTTGCGTTCATTTTGAATACAACCATTTAGTTTAAACAAATCATATCACCGCTAATACGATAATATTCTATCAATACAGATATTACTGGGAAATCTAGAAGAGGCGTCAAGCTTTTTCGTCAAGGCATTACTTATTCGTCAGAAGTATATGAAAATTAGCAGGCAAAGTTTCTGCCGTACTACCGAAAAGGCACTAAAAACTTATGTTGATAAATCTCTTGAATGTATCGATCACGAAGATGTTGCTCGCTCAATTTGTGCCGGTACATACCAAACTAAAGGATGATCGTTATATTCAAATAAAATAGATTCGATACACAACATCGATGCTATGGCCATACTAAACCTTATCTTGTGCTTTATACATTAGGATTACCGACAGAATCTTTTGAAGATGTAAACCCCTTCGATATCGAATTTTTACCAGATAATGGTAACGTTTGTAAAATAAAAAATGGTATTGTCATGGTCTATGAAGATAAGGATGCATTAGAGCGAGAAAAACCACTAGACTTGAAACATCCGGATGTACAGGAATTTGTTTCGGATAGAAACGTTCTGTTAGCTTTATGTTCTCATGGACCAATGTAAATACGAGTATTAAGAATGATAGGCGTTATAGGCATTTAAACAAGTCGAAAGCGCTGTACTAAGATTTGAATCATTTTTGAAATTTTATAGAAAATCATTTGCGTATCGTCGAATGTCTTTTCTCGAATCACGATTTAATTTGCATGTGTTACTAAATGAAACAAATGAGATTGCAGCTCAAAAGCGAGTTTCACATCGAGATTTTTATAACGTCCGAAAAGTAAGAAAAATGGGTTTCTACAATACAATACGTATGTCTCTCTATCAGCTGGTAACCTAGGTCCATTGTATACCAATTTTTATATAGGTTGACACTCACGTTCACGCGGCCTCATGCATGAATCAAAAACACTTACTACGATTTATTAAGAATAAAATGAAAAATTGTCCGAACGAAGAGGTCTTGTTTCGTAATGGAAATGTGATGACCTTGGAAAAAGTAACAATTTTAATATAGTTTAAAGAATATATTTATCTTTACTGTAGACCTCGAATTTGAACGTTATTTTTTAACTTTCACGCTTCGTTAGGTTTTTAGGAGTCTTAATCTTACGTCATATGACTTAAGTGTTGATAAGTTGGATGTCCATGCGGTATGTTAATATATATATATCTTTTCAACAACTTAGCAAATCTTAATTATCTTGTTCTTAAGTTGGATATAACCATGATATTCGTATTCTAGGACCGAAACACTTTTCATCGATTCGATAAATTCAATCTCAAGTATAACCCTATTGGTGAGCTTGTTACCAATGTTTCGTTACGCTTAAAATCAGCTAGGCTAAAAATGAATAACTTCGCAACTTTTACAGGGGAAAGTCGATTAAGAGAGATATTTTTGAAAACTGACAATTACGTCGATGGAAGATATTTTGGAGAGCTAATCAAGGTATTTAATTTCCCATTACCTTTTAATTGTATCACTTGCTCAAGGATATTTCGTTTGTGTAGGAGGTTGCATACGAACTAGAAGACAGCAAATACCAAATGGCTGAGCCCCGCTTATCAATATACGGCAAATCGAAAATTGAATGGGATAAATTAGCTAGATGGGCTGTGAACAACAGCGTGTATTCAGATAATGTGAGATGGCTAATCCAAATCCCTCGTCTGTAGTAAGTTTTAGCGTTCAGTAAATAAAGCATTTTTAATTGTGTCACTATATTAAACTAATCTTTACATTTAATATTGGTTCTAATAACTAGTAACATTTATAAATCCAATAACCTCCTCAATAATTTCCAAGAAATGTTGGATAACATATTCACACCCCTGTTTGAAGTCACATGCAATCCTAGTTCTCACCCGGAATTGCACCGTTTTTTGCCACAGGTTGAACTCTTGACAAAATATTTTAATAGATTTTAAATTATTTGCATACTTTAAAGTTCGATAATTGAATACACTAACGCAATCTATGTTTTCATTCGTATACGTTATACAGCTAATTGGCTTTGATAGTGTAGATGACGAAAGTAAAGCTGAAAACCATTTATTTCATGAAGATAGCCCATTGCCAAATGAATGGGATCTACCGGAGAATCCTCCATACTCTTATTATTGTTTTTACATGTTTGCCAATATTACTGCGCTAAATAATTTACGAAAGTAGGTCACCTTAACTCTTTGTAAATATAAAACCTAATTATATATGTATGTATTACATTTGAATAGAAAATAATCGCAAAATTCGTTTATACGAATATAGGCAACGTGGTCTTAACTGTTTTATGTTTCGACCACATTGTGGAGAAGCAGGTTCGGTAGAGCACTTGATGGCTGCTTTTATCTTAGCGCAAAATATTTCTCATGGTTTATTACTGCGAAAGGTATAATGAATATTCAATTCTATAAATGTTATCTTTAACTGCGTGTGTGATATGCATGTACATTTATTATCATCTATCGAATCTTAGAAATAACTTGGGAGTAATATATAATAATTGTCGGCTTTCCTTGCAGGTTCCCGCTTTGCAATATTTATATTATTTGGCTCAGGTGGGCATTGCAATGTCACCTTTAAGTAACAATTCATTGTTTCTGAATTATCATCGAAACCCTCTTCCATCGTATCATGCAAGAGGGCTAATTGTATCGATTTCGTCTGATGACCCTCTACAATTCCATTTTACAAAGGTATTTAGAGTATCAATTAATCCCTCTGTTTATTTTATATGAATAGTAAAATCACTTCCATCAAATAATGCCATTCTAAACATAAAGCGAATATTCTACCTGTTGTTTAGGAACCTTTGATGGAAGAATATAGTATTGCAGCACAAGTATGGAAACTTAACCCTTGTGATATGTGTGAACTGGCCCGAAATAGTGTGTGGATGAGTGGTTTCGAGCACAATGTAAGATAATAATTAAAAGTCGAATATTTTGTAATTACAGTAATAGATTGATAATGTAATTGCAACACCATTTTGAACACCTCCAATAGTTGAAGAAACATTGGCTAGGAGAAAATTACCTGAAAGAGGGTATTGAATCAAATTCTATCAGTTGCACGAATGTCCCTGGTATTCGTGTGGCCTACAGACATGAAACTTTAGAAGAAGAGCTGTGTACAATCTGTGATCCCCAGATTAAGGATCATATTCCACCTCATTCGTAATGTTAAATCTATTGCACATTAATTCAGTTTGTTACTTTAGCTACTAAAAATATGTGCAACGGGAAGTGTTTTTTTTACCTTAAGAACATTTTTCATTATGGTCTTTATAATCGGTAACGGCAATTTCTTGATCCTTTAAATTATATCGTAACTATACTGTCATTGATGGCTGACCAAAGTCGATTTCAAAAGTAGTACTTATCCCATACTAATTATATGTGGTTGCTACTTATTGTTTACTATCCCTTATAGTTTTCAATTAACGGACAAATGACTCATCACATATCAAAAACAGTCAATATACCCATTTAATCTCACATTATTATTATTATTATTCATGTTTGATAGTTTTATTTATATCACTATTTAGTTGTGTCTTTACATTGATATTGTACTCTTTTTATAAACAGTTTATAATGTACTGCATTAGAATTTATCACTATTGAAGAAATGTATTAATAATGTTTGGCGTACATATGTATTACTGAACGTCACTCAAATCAGGTGTATCCATAGATTCGGCGGAGCGATGGAATATAACACTCAGCCTCAACTTGATTTCTACCGTAAGATTACAAATATCAATTTTAGAAGTTTATATTTTACGTAAGCTAATATCACCGATGGACTTAATATATTTATAGACTGAATTTCTTCTAGCTAAGTCTTATACGAAATAAAATCGATATATTGCAGACAATAAAATTTTATTGAGCTATCGATCACCCGGTTGTATCTTTTGCTACAGTATGATTATAGGTAATGCATTAATCAATATGCAAAATATATTTAACGAATTTAATTATATTATCTACTTTCATTTAATAAAAAACCCTATCAATTAAATAGCTTATCCTACAATGCGTCAAGTAGCAGCGGGACTAAATCAGATGTTGTAATCCCTGTTATGCATAATATATTATCAACCAGTCATTTATTTAAACCCTAATTTCAAGCAGAATCTACCATATTTCATTGTCTATGAACGCTCACAATTTGTAAAAATTGATCCATCATCTACGTACGCATTTGAACATGTTCTGTAAAGAAATCCTGGACTTGATAGAATCCACCTATAAATGATAGTCAACATAATGCGATAAATGTACGTTAATCTTCAATTAAGAATATTGTAAGCGTGAATGATCATGTAAACTATTACGTAATACTAGTAATTTATACTCTTCAGTAAATTAACAACTCTTTAAAGTTACAACATTGGTGCACTGAAATTAGGGCTAAAGTATAATTCTACATGCACGCTGTTTAATGCTACATACTAATCAAGATCAAAGCATGCGTCGTTGGCGAAATGCTTAATACGTTTTCAACGTGTTTTATATACAGTTTCAAATGGTGGTAGTAGATTATATGCTAAAGCCAAATACCTTAACTAAATGTATCTAATACTCACATGAAATTGTAAGCTTAAACTGTCACTTCAACGGACTTGACCGTATCTCGGAGGCGATACTGCGTCATTCTAGCAGCGTCTTCGGAATCTGGAACCTAAGATTAAATATTATGCCGTTAGTTATTTCATTTTCAAAAGCATTTGAAGTTAGTTAGATAGGGAAGTTTCAAATATAAATACAACCATTGGTATATGTTTATTATAGATTCCGATTTTTAACCGAAAATGTTAACGCTTTATTGTTACCTCCCAATGTGGCGAATCTAAGTGGAAATCTTGGCTATCTACATCATCGAATATCGAAAATTTGATAATGTAACCTAGTGGAAATGATTTTAATGATCATGTAAATTAGGATAATAACCTTTAGAAGTGCTGATTCAGAATTTGACTACTAAAGCATCTTTTAAGTTCAGTAACAGATAATAGCTTGCTCTTATTCGAATATTACCGGTTATTAGTCCAGATAAGATGGAGATACCCAAGGTCACACCAATACCTGCAGCTTGCATAGCAGCTTGTCCTCCAGCGGATAGTGGCTCGCCAGGCATATCAACTACGCCAACTGGAAGGGTCATGTTCAGAGTTGCTGGTTTTCGAGCGGGAAATATGCTGTACAAGCTGTTTATAAATTACAATATGATAGTGAACAGTATTATCATTTTGTCGCATCAACGACAGTGACTAGTTATGATCATTTTATTTAAACGAGCAGTAAAAATCTATAACAATATTTACCTTTCTCCATAACTACTGAAATGAGCCGTTGCCGCAATAATCGCACTTAGAACTGATGCTATCAAGGCAGGCATACCATGCAAGTTGTTCACTCCACAAGTGTCATGAATTCGTTTTTTTGCTAAGAAAGGCTAGATTGGTGCAAATGCAGAAATAAGATCAATACAATTTCGTCAGATAATCATGATTGCTAGTACCGTGCAATGTCTAGCTCGTGATACTCGCATAAAATACGCCATTATCAAAATTGACTATTATAGAAACAAGATAGGGTTTCAATATAATCATATAACGTTATTATTTTCCTAATTTATTTTGAAAATTCATAACATACGTAGACTTAAGATGTAATGAAAATAATACGCTAGCCTAATAACTCGTCCAAAAATTTATATTCATAGGCGTTAAACCATCACTAGTCAATGGCAGTACTTGTATATCTAATTGGAATATCTATCTTCAGCCCATGAACATATGACATACTGTATTGCTTTGGAAGGTGTATGAGAACTTTTATCAAGCTACAACTAATAATTGCCTTGCAAATCCCGGTATTCATGAGAGGTAACCTTTTTCGTCTGAAAAATATTTACTGCTGTAGCTATAACTTTCAGTATTAAAAGTATAACATATTAACTTACTGATATGTAATCGTATCCAATAACACTGACAACACCAGCGATAATACCGGTCAACATGCTTAGCCAGATAGGTAAAAGCATATTTGCTGAGGCTCCAACAGCAACACCTCCAGCTAAAGTAGAATTTTGTATATGAACCTAGATAAAATTAAAGAACATGCAGTAACTTAGGAATAAGCTTTAAAATAATGCTCTGTACAATCTATAAAGAGTTTTTCGCATAGGTTTAGTGTAAAATATTAGTTGCCAAAATGGACTAACCATTCGATATCTTCCTTCCCGATCAAGAAGTGAGCTGACAACAAAGCTTGTGCAAGTACATGCCGCTAATGCAAAGTAAGTATTGAAAACGGCACGTTGCTGTTGATCTCCTGACGCTAAGCCGGCGTTGAAACTTGGCCAAAATATCCATAAGAAGACGGTACCTATCGTCAAAAATATTATATTACTAATTCTAGTAAAAATTACTGCCTAAGACATCAAAATTGTAAGTTAATAACTGAAGAGAACATGTGTGATTAAGTTATTATAATATTAGTAAATCTAAAAAACTACTACAAAAAAGGAATATTCCTCAGTAAATAATGGAAAATTTGTACCGTTTTTGCAATTAGATACAATTAATATTTTAAAAACGCTTTAATGTATGCAAATATTGTTGTTAAAATTTATCCTAATTCCTTCACTGATAGCTATTCCATAGCTTGTACTCCTATGATGGTGTAAAAATAATTTATATAGAAACTTCAATATATTAGCCATATGATACTTGTTAATATGTAATTAATAATTAAATTAAACTAAGACGGTACAATACGTATATAAAAGAAATGTAGTCTATATTTAACATTCAGCAGCTCCTATTATTGTTGTTTAAGCGAAGTTAACAGTTCTTTATCGCTCGTAAAACCATTGTCTTTTTTCATCGTTAATTTATAGTACCGTGAAAGTTCATCAAACGAATAATTACAGTATTATTCAACAATTGAATTGATTAACCTGTTTTGCTTTACTTTAGGAATTATGGTCATATTGGTCATTAAAATTTATCGATGAATTAGATCATCAAGTTTAGTCAAGTTAGAATCTAAATTATGCACTGTATAGCAAAAACTTTCAATTTACATAATTCCTTTAAATCATTGATAATTTTAATTAAGACAAAAAGCACCCTTAAAAGTTCTTGATTAGGCTTAAGTATTTAATTTATTCGATAGGTAAGGGTACTTTTGTTCGTTGACTATCAACATTGAAAGTAAATATATCCCCAAAGATAGATAAGTATTGAAGAAATAGCTTATCTTATTTTATGCATTTGATATTTGAGGAAACCATTTATTATCGAATCGTAAGTTAAAATATGCTGCATCATTTTACTAACCTATCATTGCTGATATATCCGATTGATAGGAAGATCCTTCGTTGGCATGACCAACTGCATCTCTACTATATAATACGAAGGCAACTGCTAAACCGAAATAAGCTCCAAATGCATGAATAACGATAGATCCACCCATATCGCTAATTTTTAGATACTGTAAGCATAAAGTTTCGTTGATGGAATAGAATATAACTTCGAAAAATGCCATAACAATTAGCTGCAAAGTTGACGTCTTGCCAAGTACAGCTCCAAAGGAGATCAATATTGCAGCTGCACATATGTCAGCAGCAATTAAACTGTCATTTCAAATGAAGCGGTAAAAATGTAATAAGTATCAAATTTATATGGATAGCGAATCATTTAAAATACTCTATAGCAACTAGAGAGGAAAATTTTAACAAAAAAATCGCTAAAGTTCGGCTAAGATATTAGCTGTATCTGTTTTAAATTAATTTTTTAGGGACATTTGCTTGATACCATCCCATAAAAACATGATATTTGAAATAAGAGAAAAATCTGTTAGAAACTAAATTACGACTCTTATTTTCCATCTCCTAAAAATTTATCTGAACGTATTAACCTGACGTACTTTATGTAATTAAACTTAGTCTCAGTAGTCTTCGTCCCTGTATCGAACAAAACTCAGTACTGCTGGAATTTAATTACATTTACGTAGTTAAGTAGTGTATTACTTAGTTACTTAGTTGCTGGTGTGCTAATTTTTAATACGTTAAATTAATCTCATGTGCTTTTTGCAGGTGTTATCATTGCCTCTTTGCAAAGAAAACGACTCTAGCTTGTGAGTTCATCAATTAACTCGCTATCACTTTTACTGTTGATCATTGACATCCACCTTTTCACAAAATTATTAAAGGTGAAAAACAGCGCCCAAGTTAGCAAATTCCTAAAGGGAATTTGCATTAAAACAACAATTCCATACAGGCCAACTACCACAATTTAATTGTTTTTTTCATTGAAACCGTATGGTTCAATTTGATCTATTTACTATGCAAGTATAAGAGTATACTCCATCGATCGTAAATTAAAATCTAATACTAAGACTGGATATTTGAGCACCAAGCCTCAATTCTACTTTCATCTCTACGGTACTGTAAATTTGAAATCGATCAAAGAGTCAATGATACATAGCAATTTCACTGCAACTATGCAATATCTAACGCTTGCAACGATAACTTTAGATCACTCATTTCATTTTGGGCTACAATAATCAATTACAACAGTTATTCTTTGCTGAGGTCAGCCATAAGTCTTCTTAAACGTTAACATTAGTGAACATATGCCGTTAAAATATATATGTATCTGTGTAGTTTAGCATTAAGAATTAATCCAAAGTAGCGTATGGTTTTGCTAAAAAGTTTTGCAAAAAGTGACTACCAAATAGTTCGTTTAGGATAAAGTGGCCAGATAAAAATGAGACGTAAAACTGATCTGCATTAATTTTAACGTCATAGATGAGGTACATAAAGTCAAGGCTTTAAATCAAGTGTGAAATTGGCGTATAAGAGCAACAGTAGCTATTCACTATTGGAGCATATTAATAGTGTATCTTTCGTTCATTAATCGACTTACGATTCGGTATCGATAAGTATATGGCTAAAATTAGACCAAGAATGGCAGAACCCCAGGGTGAGAGTTGACCATTGGATTACAAAAGAGGCTAAAAGTAAATTAAAGCCAACACTACTGAAGGAATATTTCTTTAAAAATGTCATTAAGAAGCCAAAGCCAACAAAGATCATGACATGAATATCTTGAAACACTAAAATAAGTATAGAGCAAAGTAAATGGAAATGAAGGTTAACACGAAAAATCAGGAAAGAAAGTTGGATTGCAGCATATTTATGGTGATCTCCTCAGAAATAGCTATCAATACAATATAGACAAAGGAGTACATCAAGGTCAATTAGTATCACAGCGATCTTATTCATGCTCTTATCAGGAAAGGAAATTAACAGTTATCTACATATATAAGCATCATGGAACGTATAATCATGGGCTCACTAATTTATAAGACATCGGTACAACTTAGTATCAGCATTAATGTGATTTAACATCCCTTCTCTACAGCATATAAGAACGAAGATTTTGTCATGATTCATGTTTAATTGCATTAATGTAGACAGACAATAATCGACATATTTAAGGCTAATTTTTACTTTTTCTTGCCTAGTTTGTAACTGCACCATACTTACTTGCATAAGATACACCATGAAAAGATTCAGCATGAGAGGTTGGCAAAGCAACACTATCAAATTGGACGAAGACTGCAAATAAAATAAGTGCCACAATCTCAAAGACAGTCATTAAAATGACTAATTTACGGCTCAATAATCCCATGATGATGTAGACTAATTAATTTGTTGGTTTATGCTTAATTCTACTAGTTCGCCTGGCAAGTGGAAGTAATATTGACGACTAAAAGGTTGATAATGTAGGACAATTCCGTTATCTAATCAATTTTAGATATAATACTGTATCTAATAGAAAAATAGCGGATAGTCTTGACTTGATTTCTTGCCTCAGCAACGCTTGTAGCAATGGCACTGTTAACTTTTCACCGACGTCACTACAATACCAGTCAAGGTCGGTTCTAATGGGCTAATTTCAAGAACGAACTGTAAAAGTAATATGGCTTTTAGCAGTAAGTTCAGTTAGAGATGCATGCTGGCCACCAAGCACTAGCCTCTAAATGCTAACAGCTAGCCGATCGAGGGGCGTGGTAATCATTCGATGGCAGAACAAAGTACTAGTCAGCCTTGCTATTTAATTGGTTGTATCATGATAGTAGTTTTTATTACAGACTATGATCTAACTATTAATTTGGATAATAAACATGATGAATAATATCTTATTCTGGACGATGATTGGTAATTGATCTATCGCTTAACCTGCGATACAACATGATTGGATACAACTATTACTTCTTATGCCACTCACAGCTGCTGGAGAATACAATCAGGGATCATCAGGAAACGTGAAGGTCAAAAAACAACGACGATTTGGATGTAATTAAAATTAGGGTCTAAGATGCTGATGATTACGATGTAATTAAGATTAGCGTCTGAAATAACGATGATTCGGATATCATCCTGATTAATGTCGAAGATAACTATGATTTGGATGTGATCAAGATTAGAGTCTGATATAAGTTTAATGTAATAGATGTAGAATCACTTACAATATAGTGCATCTCGTGAGTCGTGATGATGAAATAAATGAGGATATAAGGGCGATAGTAGACCAGCCGAAAAGTGTTTCCTAATTCATCTCTGCTTTTGTCATTCTCGTGCAGTAACATATGTTTCTAATCTAATCATTGTTAAAAATGATAATATTGAAGACACATTGAATATGGATTTCACACAGAACCTGACCAAATGCATAGACTTCTAAATCTAGAAGTCCATACCAAGCGATGCCCAAATTGAGCATCGTGTAAAATTCTCTATATTGCACTATTTTTGTATCGGTCTATGAAGTTTGTGCAACTAAACTACGCAGCGTTATAGATAGAAAAGGCATCTGATAAAATTAAGGTGGAATTACATCCTTAGTTAAAAATGGTTAGACACTCCAAACTTGAGTTACGCTACATTCTTACTTACCTAATTACCTTTAATAGCTATTATGATCTATAGCAAGTGTATAGACGTTAAATTAGCAAAGCTTTCAAGAAATAAAGTTACCTTTCATACTAAGATAAAATGCTTCTTTTCCCTAGTAGACTTATTGTACTCATTATTCCTGTACAGCTGTAAAATAGCTTGATTGCAATCTCCATAAACTGATTTTACTTTTATAATACGAATGAAAACGATCGAAAATTTACACCAGCAATTCTTTTAGCTCATATATCCTGATTAGACGCGTATCTATAATTCATTTCTTTCTGCTTTTCTGATCTACTTTGTAGTTTCTATCATGATGATAGAGACATTTAGAGATCATGCCTTTAAATGCTCACGTAATCAAGGCATTATTCCCTTTATCAAAACTATACTATTTATTAGTCGATCTAGAATTCTAGCCAGCAGCTATTTCTTACTGATAGTAACGATAATGCTACGTAAATCAGTTTTGTTAATATAAACTATTTTGTAGCTAAATATCGAGCCAGATGTAGTTCAAGCCATTATTATTGGATTACGTGGAAACTTTATAAATAATAAATCATTCTTAGCTTTTAATTAAAACTAGACCACTAAGTGGGTAATTATGTTGATAACTTTTATAAAAATGATAGCTGAATTCGCTATTCTTCTGTTTGGTACTGAAGTAGTTATAAAATGTAACATATTTTAAAATTGTACGTCTCTAGTGAAATTATAATCATGCTTACGGTACGGTATCTAATATGGATTACTCAAAAGACTTTAATCGCAAAGAAAGATTAGATATGAGCTGATTGAACTGATATATTCACAGAATGCTGTTTGAGATCAGCTGTAAGCTACTTTTATTGGCGCTGTGATGAAAATCTTCGGTCATTCGGTTCATAATTCTGACCAAAATTCGAATCAGGATTGGAAAAAAAATAGATTTAAGGGTCACCGCTGTAGTATTTACTAAATTCTCGAGAAATATCATGGGATGATATCATCTACTATTTGAAGCACATTAACGTACTTGATGGATGATTTGGCTAAAACCTTGTTGTAAACGAGTTAAAATTTATGTAACTGCTTCATCTCCAATATTACTATAAGAAAATACTAATGATTTTATTGCAACTCAAGATTTAACGCTCTTTAAAGACTGCTAATATCAAGTTCAGCTAGCAGATAGCATTGCCAAATTCACAATATGATGTAGCCTTAAAACAAGTTATTTACATAAGAAGAGTGAAGGGAGTAAATAATGTTTATACCACTGAAGGATGAGAGATTAATTTATCATTCATTCTTAGAATCTTATAATTGTCAAAGTAACCAATTTTGTACTTCATGATACACTATAGCAGCAGCTAATTGACCCAAGATTAACCTAAGCATGTTACCTGAGAGAATAATTGGAGTAAGAAACAGTTTATGTTTAATTACAGTGGGATTAGCCAAACGTTAGGATTAATCCTATATTAAAAGTGACAATTTATTAAAGCAATCAAAAATAGCTGTATCACTTAGGCTGAAGTAAAAATAAAATCAAATTTTTTATAATACTAACATCCTTCAATTATGCTCTATTAGCTACGGCTTAATACCAAATTTACCCATTATATTTTAGAAAGTGTTATGTTCATGTTGCGGTAATTATTTGCTGATACGATGACTAACATAAGTATTAATTATCAAGATTTTAGATATGGTTCTTCAAAAAGTGTAATTATCTTAAATTGATAATTTATGCTAGAATAGGACTGCATAAAACAGAAATATTGAAGGCTATGCCAGCCTATCTAGAGGGAGACAGGATTAGGAAGATGGTAGAGTTTTTGACTAGAATTAAATCTCAGATTTGATTTTGTTACTCGTTGGTAACCTAACGGATTTGGTTTACTCAAACACATGAAACTATAGATAGTGACAATATTTAGTGGCTCCTAAAGAGAAAAAGTAATGTGATCGTCTTTCAATGTACAGGTGATCGATACTCCAAGCCCTGAGTGCTCAATTATACAGTAGCGAAGTTATTTTCGGCAGTAGAATTATAAAATTCTATTGTATAGCGGAATCCGCACCATATTACTACAGGATATAATTTGAAGTTATAATTAAATTGAATCATATTTCAACCATTATAGAGTCAAAAAACAGTACATTATTGGGAATGAGCAGTCAAAAATTTGCCAAATATAAATTTACTTCATTCCTTTAATCCAATTATATTATTTATATTCTAAGTAATAATTAGTCATCCAAACAGGATATTAGTGTTCAATTCAGATTCTCTATGTAGCCTACCAATTTTATCATGTATCATTTATCTTTAACATGTATTTGATTTTTTTAATAGATAAGCACTTTTACTGAATTTGAAAGTTCAACTGTATTTAAGCAGCTAGTTTATACCATATTTCTAATTCCAAGCTAACTAAATTTATCTAAAGTAACACCTTGAACATGATAAGTAAAAACTGGCAGTGTATTTTCTCCGTACATAAAAATCGGATTTTGAAAAGATTCGGATAGCTTTCCAATTAATATCGAGATACGATAATACCTGTAAGCTGCTTTTGTAAACTAGGTGTACTACTTTCTTTCACATATCACTCCTCAAAAATATCGATATATTAAAAGAAATAATATATAATCAGTTACTACCTTGAGTACGCGTACATAATGTTCACCGATAATACATAACAATAGTAAACTTTAACGAGTTTGCGCTAGATATCTCCAGTACCCATTCTTCTTTGAGGTATTCCTGTAAGATGCTTGAGACAGTTATTCTATTTCTGGTATCGGCGTTATTGGGCGACGAAAAGGGCTGCGGAATCATCTAAAATGCCTTTAATCGATACGATATTATTATGTATTTGCGTTGTGACTGAGGGTGGATTTTAATCATTATACCACTTCCGAAGTTTTGGTTTTGCTTCCTCGGTCATCCTGGGTCACCGTAATGTTATCGTCCTCATCAGGAATCTATATTAGTTTCACATTATGTTATCAGACTAGTATTATTTAAATATTATTTGATCAGTAAATGAATGAAAAACGCGAATTCTACTTTCATAATGACTAGTATTTCCAAATTGGCCCTAGAAATGTAGGAAAACTACCGTAACCATTCAGCATATTACCTCCCAATGTGGAGAATCTAGATAGTAATCTTCGGTACGGACTTCATCAAATATTGACAGTCTGATGATACAACCTAACGAAAATGGAGGAGGTATATAGGTAAATACTAAGATACAGTTGTATTCACTGAAGATGCAATAGCATCAATAAGTACACATGACTTTTCGCAGATGCATATAAATATGCAAACATAGAGAAGCAGAGCTACCTGTAATTAATCCAGATGCGATGGAGATAGCTAGTGTTACTCCAATTCCAGCGGCTTGCAAGCCAGCTTGCCCTGCTGCAGTTACAGGTTCACCAGGAATATCTATAGCACCAGCTGGTAAAGTCATGTTCAGATTTGATGGAGTTCGAGCAGGGAATATACTGTATAAGCTGTTAGGCATATCATATTAAAATAGATCAATAGTTAGTCCTATCAATTAATGGGTTTAAATCAGCCAAATTTCGTCACTATATAGCTATCAGAAATTGAATTGTTAAAATTATAATCCCGACGAACTTGCCTTTGTTCGTATTGATTAAAATGGGCCAATGATGCCATAATGATGCTAAGTATTGCGGCAATCAAGGCTGGCATACCATGCAAATTATTCACACCACATGTGTCATGAATTCGTTTCTTAGCCAAAAAAGGCTGTATTGATCCAAATCAGAGAAAAGTGACAATGAAAATAAACTAATTTCCTTAATTATCTATGCCATCTATTCTGTATCTAAATAATGAAACGGCTAGATCTTTGTATTAGCTAAACATATGCTAGCAAATTTATTACTCATGAATTAATAGACGATTGATGCAGGTAATGATATTTCAATTATAATTAATAATCGAAATCAAACATTCAATTGTCTTAGGATGCAGCGAAACTAAATCGAAAATAAGGAGTAAGAGTACCCTTTGATTGAAGCTTAACATTGAGCAAACTGAGTGATTGCGCTAATATAATAAAATTTCTCTCTTTCTGCTACGCAATAAATGAAAATATCATTTTCACGACATAAAAGTACTCATTTCTGCTAAAGAAAATGAAATGACACGTTTAATTTTAACTTAGACTCTACAAAGTAGCTGTAGGTAAGATGTTAGCAGCTACTGAATATTACTATTAATAGCTTACCGTAATATAGTCGTATCCAATGACGCTGATGATACCGGCAATGATACCCGTTAGCATGCTTAGCCAAATAGGCAAAAGCATATTTGCAGAAGCACCAACGGCAACACCTCCAGCTAAAGTGGAATTTTGTACGTGTACCTAAGTCAAAATGCAAAGCAATAAGTCTATAATAAATTTAAAGAAAGCTCAAAGTCATCTTGCAAGCAAATTTTGAAGCGATTATACTGTAAATTAATAGCGTTCACTTACCATTCGATATCTTCCTTCACGATCAATAAGCGAGCTTATAACAAAGCTAGTGCATGTGCAAGCTGCTAATGCAAAGTAAGTATTAAAGACAGCTCGCTGTTGCTGATCTCCTGATGCTAAGCCTGCATTAAAGCCAGGCCAAAATATCCAAAGAAAGACAGTACCTATTGCCAGCGAGAAAAGTATTATTTGCTGTTCATGCTAAATAATCGACAATATGATAGACCATTTACAACAATTTTTGTAAAAGTATTAGCAAACTCGCCGATATTTGTATAGTAGTTGACATAATGTATTACATAATCATTAAGCGCTAAATAGTTTAGCTAAAAGTCATTGCTCAATATTAGCAAAATTTACTGAAATCAATTATCTAAGTTTTTGGAATGAATACAGTACATCTATAAATTCCAGTGTTACTGATAAAATAAAATTTAAAGATTGATGTTGCTAAATTCTAGACGTATACCTTGAATAAAATTTGAAATTTCGTGACTACGCGATAAATGTTATAGAATGTACACTCTAAATCATCTCTAACCGATCATTGCTGATAAATCCGATTGATAAGAAGATCCTTCGTTTGGATTATCAACTGCCTCTTTTTTGTTCATTACTAGCGCGACTGCCAGACCAAAGTAAGCTCCAAAAGCATGAATAACGATAGATCCACCCATATCACTAATTTTTAGATACTGAAAGCATATAGTTTCGTTGACAGCATAAAATATAACTTCAAGGAGTGCCATGACCATTAATTGCAATGGTGATGTCTTGCCGAGCACAGCTCCAAAAGAGATCAGGACTGCAGCGGCACAGATATCAGAGCCGATTAAACTGAAAATGAAATTAGAGCAAATTATCTACAGTCCAAATTAAATAAATTAGCCAAGTACAAAACTTCATTAATCATCTAGTCTGTTTGAAATTCTAGATTTTATAAGGTGAACAATCGACGGTAATCAAAATACAACTTTGAAATTAATAACAATATATTGTAGACCGTAACTATTCAATCTATATCATGGTGAATAATTATCCATTCATCAATCAATTATAATTAGATAGTCTGGTTAGTTTCTTGCATTAAATGTACTGGTGGAACTAATCTTCTTCATAATTAAGTGTGTATGCCATAGATTTATGATGATCATAACAGGTAAATAATGGATGAATTAGCTCGTACCACTAATGTTGAATTAGTTTTATAATTTTTCAATTATGTTGAAAGTGAATCGATACCGAATTAAGCCTAACATAATCCCTTAATAATTTACTTTAGCTGAACAAAATCATTGGAATTGTCTCTTGCTAAAGGAATTACCCAATTTATTTCCGAAAATTTTTAAAACTCAATTACGTTCTTTATTCGAGCGTACTTTTTAATGTAATGAAGTGATGCATCCTATATTTTGTTATATTTGATAGCTACATTTGATATAGAATGGTTTCTAATAGTAGATATGGTCGCGGTGATAAACAATTAGATGATTGTTAATTACTATATTAGAAATTATTGATTAATAATATAGGCAATTTACTTAAGTACAGTATGGGAAATAGATCTATGTGACTTTATGTACTTTAACTATGAAAGTGCACAACACCTTGAGGCGTAGAATATTTGTATTGGATTAATTGATGACTCCAGTCTGATAGTAGGCAACTTTATTGCCTTAAACAGATCAGAAGAAATTTTTTAAGAACCGTAAGATGAGCATACTGTAGACTAGACTTTAGTTCTTTCGAGCTTAGGATGCTTTAGATCAATTCCTATTCTAATTAATTATCACTTTTTTAATTTTATATCGACAAAGTGTGGTGTAGACATTTCACATCTAAGGTGAGGTCAATGAATCTGTTGACGAATTAATTAGAATCAGACATGTTGACAAATATGTTGACAAAATGTGAGAATCTCTACTGATAGGTGGTTATAGAAATTATTTGAGAATGTGAATTTTCGAGGAAGTAATGGTGGATTTACTTGAATACTTGCATTATTACTAACTTGATTGGTTGAAAGGTCGTCATATTGAAGTAATACTACGATGACAATTATACTTTAGAGTTAAATTAGTTAGCATGACAAATCAATGATTTATATTGCGAAATAGAAGAAAGCCGAATTTGTACTAATAATATGATGACAGATGCCTGCTGTGTCAGGAGATGTTGATTTGGAATTGACGTAAATCGTGTTGGTATTTAAACAAGATTAGATTCTTTGATAAAGAGAGATGGACAGAGAGGGATTAAAATTTAGTTTAGAGATACCCTAAGGCAGTAGTTTGCCACCAGTTTTACTGCTTCTATTAGATCTACATGTAATCCTTCTAATAAATGTAATAAACATGGTTATTACCCGAATCCACTAATTGAAGCCGCTTTAAGAGTAACGATAGACGATCTAATAATAGAAGTTACTATACTAAGACAAACATTTTATGACACTTTTATTACAATAAATAAATGCTTGCGTCATATTTGGCAAATAGAATTACAAACTAAGCCTAATTGAGTTGGATCATATTTATGCTTAGATTCCGTTGCATATTGATAGTGATAAAAAATTTTATAAAAATAAACTTGTAAGGGGATTATGATTTTGGTACAATATTATCTAGTCAGCAGCATTTAAAATGTCTCATTTTCCAGCTGATCAAAGCCAACTGAATTACCATTATCCACTATTAATGTCCGTCTTTGACTACTTGAAAGACACTGACAGAGCTGGTGGGGATCCAGCTGAGAAAATTAATCGCATTAAAGTTTAATAATTATAATAGAATAAGTCAGGTAAGCCGATGCACAGTATAATAGGGTTTTGGAGATATTTAAAATGTATTAACCAGCATGAAGCTATAGCTGTAAGCCTAGAAAAAGATCACATACTATGATAACAAATGAACATCGCTAAAGGAGGGAATCAGGCCACTACTAGACATTCAAGCTATTGGTCAGCTAAGCAAGCAGCATATTGACATGAAAACAAAAGGGCCCTTGATTAGGGTATAAAAATTCTTGCATTACGAAATAATAAGATGATTGTGCAATGTAGTAAATGTATAGTATTTTTAGCTTAGTATAGCATTGATATTCAGTACGGTAGTATATCCCATGGATATGTGATTAACGCGATAATTACGACGCTAGTAAACTATCTACTGTAAGATTCAGCCGACAAGAAGCATTAAATAAAAGCACTTGTTAAATGGTTGTTAGTATCAGTTAATTGCTTTACACCATATTATGTACTTTTCAGTTTGGGACGACTTTGATGATTCTACCGTAGGCAAAGATTTTAGTATCAGATACTGTAGCAATGAACCATTAGTCTAGTAGATGGATGCATTTTAATTTATTATGCTATGACATGTTACTAATGGTTTGAAGGCAGTTTACTAGTAACAGAAATTGACATTTTTCATATTTAAGACATAAGAAATGACTATACTTTTCCAAAGTATGCGAATAAGTATAAACTTACTCCTCTGTTTTGATGGTAATGATACTAAAATTAGACCAATGATGACAAAATCCCAACATAAGAGTCGACCATTGGATTACGAAAGAGGCGAGCAGTAAATTGAATCCGACACTACTGAAGGAATACTTTTTCAAAAAGGTCATCAAGAAGCCAAAACCGATAAAGATCATAACATGGATATCCTGAAACACTGCAATCCAAATCAAGTATTAAATATGATGACTTATAGCTAAAATTGATTAAGTTCTTAAGTTGGTTTATAAATTGATATAGCTAAAGTCAGACCATGATTTAAGGCAAATCAAGTAATAATTTAACCAAAAAATTTGAATACAGCCTGACATTGTCATGACAAATTGTATAATAATTATCTTAGTATATTCTATCCTACAGAAAATAGAAAGCATGTCATTTTTACAGCTAGGTAAAATCAACACAAAGTATCATTTAGCTGGATTACATCATTCCAGCTACCATATGAACTATTAATTAAGTATGAACTTTTTGTGATGACTATCCTCAATTGTATACCTGTTGCATTAGTCTTATATAAGCAAAAATTAGAAGATACTTACTAGCATAAGTGACTCCAGGAATCGATACTGCGAGCGATCCTGGTAAAGCAACCTTATCAAATCTCACAAATACAGCAAACAGAATAATTGCAACTAATTCAAATAAAGTCATAAATATGACTAGTTTACGACTTAATATCCCCATGGCGAAGTGGTTTAGTTTGGAACGATTATATTCAAATCCACCAGTAAATTTGATATTTTATCGGTCAATTGCTGACTTTTACTGTTCTTAATCACTTAAAATATGTATCAGTAGATCCACAAATGACTACTTTGATAAGATGCTCAATTTCAACCACAGCCAATCAATTATGGTTATTAACCGTAACTTGATGTCCAGCAAGAGGTCTTCTTAAATGATGATTTTATTCCGTAGCAACAAATTTTAAGACTGTGGTTGTACTACAAGCAAACTATAAATATGCAATATTAATCCTCCAAGTACTACTACAATCTCGATAAGGAGGTGTGGTACTTTAGATAATTATTCAAGGATATACCTGGGAGACATGGGGATTTGATAATAATGCCTAAACCTGTTTATTTGAATTAGCGGCATACATCTGTGACAGACGGTGCAATTAATTCAATCAATCAAAATCACGGAATAAAACTTAAATCTAGACAGACATTAGCAACATATAACAGATACATTATTGGTAGGCTACGCTTAAATACACATTTTGTCTAGATATGAAGCGAAAGTTACGAATTTAGAAACAGTTAAGCTATGCTGAAGAGAATTTAAAACGCTACTGATAAGAATATTAAAGATGCACTTTTCTAGTTCATCGTCGCAGCTATATTCGAATGAATTGTAGCTAATGAATTGATTTTATACCGCTAAATATAAGATTTTGATAGATATCAGTAATAAAATATTTTATTATAGCTACTGATATAATGGGGCTAAAATCAAGTCTTTACTAGTAGTTATGACGAAATAATAATTAAGAATAGAAATTTTTTCTTCGGACGAGCCAACTGGTATGCTTTAAGACACGCCTAAAACTTTCAATCTAATTACGGAATGAATAAATGATAATTAACAATCCATCTCTGATGTTCTGGTTGGTAAAATACTTATCCAATTAATAATGAATGTCGCAAAATATGAATATGATATTAAATAAAAAATGAGCCATTACTCGCTTTATAAGTGAAGATTTCATGAGATGACAAAAAGGACGATAATTATTCCTGGAAAGACCCCATTCGGTTTCAAGTTAAGCTGACGCTAATGCCATCTATTATCTGCAGTATCATAAGCTCATTATAGTAGCTTTACTTTAAAAAAAATGCGAATAAAGTAAATTAAAAGAATGCAGATAGATTAAAGTAGCCGAATTTACTCTAGTTCTGTTAAAGCTACCTTGCTACCTTCCATGAGATATTACAACTGACGGTTTACGAAAGTAGCGTTTATTTATTGAGCATTAACGAGAATGCTAACGATCGCATCATTTATTACTAGTAAAATTGACATTGAGATACTGATTTAATAATATATTCTAAATGGATCCTCATTATGTCTAAAATATAATACAATTTAATGCGATATTGGTGCTTCGAAAGATTACGATATAGTCTGATTTTTTTTAAGTCTTACAGCACGTTGGCGTGCATATTATGTTCATGCTCTTGATTTTATTATACGTTATATTGACGTTAGTCTTAGATTGCGATTATAATCACATTTATTCCTAGCTTGCTGTTGATCGATGTTATATTCAATCATTTGATATGTTAATATGTATTATTGTCGATGCAACTTTATGACTACCACTATAAGTTTATTAATTACTAGCGTGACGTTACTGACTAACAGAAACATATTTTTTGTTTTTAGTAACAGTTGACCAGAATGTAAAGGAGACAAAAACTAGAATAGAGACTCGGAGTTCTTATAAATTAGGGCTAGACTACTCGTTGGTAACTTAAAATAATAGGAACTTTCTGGTAGAGTCATTATAATTTATTAATGTCAGACTATAGCAATTATATTGACCTTGACATTCCAATAGCGTTGTTTGGCAAGATCAGGCTAGTATAATAAAATAGTTAAAAGTCATGAAGTTTTAATTGCAGATCAACCCTGTCGTCTGTTTCTATGCTGGTTTTAGTTTGTCCAATGCCACTCTTTCAAGTGATAGTTACCCCATACTGAGTTATTTTTAAGCAATCATATTGCTGTCATCTCCAACACCCTCTTCAAATTATACCTAACCTACAACATATGGTGAAAGGTTTGAACATCGATAGACTGTCATAAAGAAGACTGTAAGAATTGCTTGCTTAGCTCCACCTATATGCGTAGCAGCTACCTTGCAGTCTTTTAAAATAAAATAAAAGCTAATGCACATGTACTTATAATAATCGCGAAGGCAGATTGGATTGAGTAAATAACATTTAAATTTGACTACTGACCTGGCATTATCAGATGACATGATTTTCAATCACACCATAAAATGCACGATTTGATTACTACAAGCATGAACTACGGCAAGTCTCCGTATCGAGTGAAAGGATAAAATCTTAAGCAAAAGTTAAAATATGTTACGAATAAGCTTCTGTAAGACATGACGTATTTAAAGTTAAGCATTAGTACTTGCAGCGAGCACAATCATCTAAGACCATATTTCTTTAGAGAATAAGAATGCATGCATAGTGGTAGACAGTCTATCATATGGTGAAAATATTTAAATTTCTCAATCTGAATAACAGCTAATTTTAATATTATAGATCTGCACGATTTTAGTAGATAAATGAGGAACATTTAATACAGATATGATTGTATAGGTGGTAGATATGTTTATTGAAAATATTGTATCAACAAAACAATCCTTTCTCCAGTCGAAAATATAAGCAGCTACACGACATATTTTTTCTCTTACTAGAAACTGTTTGGGCATCCTTAGGTGCAAGATTAGTAACCTTGTATACGTATCGTTTCTCATCCTAGCCAAATAATTTGGGATTATTCTGTTAGCACTAGCACCCCAGGGACTCATGTCTGTATTTAAACCCATGACACACCTCGCCTAATTATGTTTGCTTATTAATTCTACTTTCGGCAGTTGGCCTATTATTCCAAAAGCATATATACTATTATTCCTTTAGGAATAGCCTCTGCCTTGTGTAGAAGTATCCAACCGAGAGATTGCTACTTGTTAAGAATTCTACATTTCTGAATGTGCTTCAGGCTTAAATGCTTTCAGTAAACTGAAAATTCTCGCTTTCTGTGACGAATAAAAGTTACTTACGAATTGATACAAATTTTACATGACGATTATTTTTAAGAATGAGATACATTTAGATTAGCAGTGGGTCATTAAGAAAACATTTCATTCTTTAAACAATTATGAAAAATATTTCTATGTTCTATTGTTATTCTTGATTTATGTCTAAAAATTTTTGCGTAGGTTAAACAAGGGATAAACAAGTTCTCATTATTTAAAAAATTTTTCATTCGCCTTTTTTTGGATCTTTGCTTTTATCCATCATATTTGCTTTTTAAAAGCTTATGTCTTTTATGTAATATAGCTACAGATTCTAGTAAAGTCTTTATTATGATTTTCTAGGGTAAAATGTAAAATCTATTCTGACGTCGGCACTTGGCTGCAAGCAAATAAATGCTAAGCCACTAGCTTTACTTTTGAAAATAACAATAAAATAAAATTATTCATTATACGACTTTCCCAGATCTTCATTTTTGTCGATTTTGTACAAAAACTGATAAGATCATAGTCCACGGAAAAATAAATTGAATGTCTTGCAAGAGTAAATTATTTTGGTATCAAATTTTATTTTAACCGAATCATTAACTCACTCTCATGTAAAAAAATAAGGTTAATGTATTCTATGAACTTTAAAATCTAATTGCATACATCTTATTGAACTCGAAATCTTCTTGTATTCAGCAATCTTGTATAGCTGATATTCTAACGTTACGTGATCTTTGAATTCTAGAAGACAACTGAAAACGCTGCTTTAAACAAGAGTAGAAATAGTAAACTCTACTTATTACCTTAAGATATGCTAAGCTCTACCAATGTGGTGTAAGTAATTTTTATGATACTTAATTGCCCAGCATCATTCTAATTGTGATGTAGACAGCTTTTGAAAGATACTTAATAAGTTACGACATGCTATAAATTAGAAAGTAGTAATCAGGCTAACAATTTAAAGCAGTAATAGTATACTATTACTGCTGCCTTTAAATGTCAGACTTGAAAATTATGTGACAAGTAATCGAGCATATTAATAATTTGCAGATATTAGCGCATAACAAGCATCTTTAGCAATTTAGTATCTATATTTCGGAATAGTAACATTGTGTACAAGATGCTGTAATTTCACGATTCAAAAACATGAGTGACAGAAAGAACTAAAATTTTATAGCAGTATGAATTAAATAAAAAGTACAGAAACATTCCCATGAAGTATTATTGTGTAATAATCGTTGGTGTGCCGTATTCAATAAGGAATATTTATAACATCAGGTTTGATCGATATTTGATGAAACTTTATTAGAAAATATAACGAGAAGATGTTTGAAAGAAACTTTGGCGGCGTATTTTGAGCCATAAAAGTTTTTTGCTGCTTACTTGCTGATATTTCATTAGCAATCTAGTAGAAGTAGCGCATTCAATCAATGATAAGTGGAACATTATACTATGATGGCATGCAGAATTATAATTATTCCATATGCAACATCAATACTAAGCAATTTCATCTCCCAAGTAAATTCATACTCCATTTGGTATTTAGACCTGTAAAGAAAGAGTTTCCGTGTTACCAAAATCATTGCTTTAGGCACATTTTTAAGCTTATGTAAAATTATTAAAGCTGTTTGCTAGCCAGCCATGAATAGGCTTACATTAGGAACTATTATGAAAAGTTTATACAAGTAAACTGATAACTGATAGCGAAGTTGGCGTAGTTTAATGGAAATGGTTATTATTTAGTGAACTAATAGAGTAGACAGAATTAAAAAAAAACAGCCTAATATAGTAATTTTTGAACTACTTTCTAGCCTTTAAATCATCCTATGCTAACAAGAAATTATACTTCTCGCTACATCTCATATTCTATGGAAGAGAAACCATTAAATATTATATTAACTATAAGAATACATAAATT